AAATGTCTGGGTCTGGAAGATTAGAACTTGTCACGCTAAATCTAAATGATGCAAAAATCTGTGTTGCGTGAGTGCCAAAAGCTGTCCGCTTTTGACCAAGTTGAGAGGAAGTTTCTCATGCAGGAAAGGCATGATAGAGACCTCAAAGAATCTGTCGTGCTGGGTCTCGCATTCTAGACCTCATGGGTCATGGAAAACCTCCATCGCAAATCTTGCATTCTTCCAGACCCAGACATTTTTACATTTGATAGTCTCGCTCTCGAAGCGAAACGCTTCCGCCCTGTTGGTACCTGAAGATCCATGATGTAATTTGGGTACGAGGGTTTGCTACCTATATGATCGTGGCGCGAGCACAAAATTCTCCCCAAATCTATCCCCAGCAGAGCGCTGGCGCCCCTTGACGGGCTGACAGCTTGTTTACTTCGTATGTTCTTAAAAGGTTATTATACCCTTCAGAGTGGTGGAACTCCGGGGGCTCTGTACTATGTTGAAGTAAAGGCGTATAATCTGCGCTCCTTCGCAGCGTCTTTTGCACTACTAGATACATAGCAGCGAGGCGCGCAGCAGGGACCGCGCCGCGACGTCCGCTGCGCGCGTCGCAGCTCTTGTCCGTCCATAGACCACTTGGGTCGAGCCGAACTTCCAGCTATGCGCTTTAGCGGATCTCCCACAAAATCGATTTTGTGTGTCCGCCCTTTCTTCGCGGATGCAGTCTCCCACGCCAATGCCTTACCAACCCCCGTCCCAGCCCGCGCCCTATGAGGTACGGCCGGGCAACGGGCCCTACCGGCCACAAAGTCGATTCTGCAACCCCTCAACCCTATGGACAACGTCGGCACCTTGCCGGACATTAGATTTTCCGGAGAGATCTGGACTTCCGGAAAGATCTCGGGAGATCGCTGCGGTCCGGATTTTCCGACTTCCGGAAAATAGTGCTTCCGAGAAAATAGCAGAAAATCGATTTTGTGCCTCCATTACTATTCAATAGTAGCGAGATCGGACTAAACCTGGTCCATACCATCGGCGGAGGCAGTTGCTTACTATCCAGTTGGTAAGCTGCTGCCAAAAATCCAAAAAAAATCCGAAGGCAGTCGCGCTCGAGGTGTCGCATGCAAAAATCCGAGCTGTTTTGTGTTGCGTCCCGAGCAAAATGATAATCCAAGGCGAAACATCGATCCAAGGCGGGCAGAGGCCCGTCCTCTGCGACTTCGCCCCACGCAATCAATTTTGCAGCTTTTGCCGGATTTTCCGGCTTTTGTGTTGGTAAAATCGATTTTGCGACCACGCGCGGATTGTGTGGCCCCGCCCGAGGATAGGGCATCTTCGAAAAGCGTGCCCGAAGGGTGCGCAAAAAATCGAATCTGTCCGCGGGTACTCACAAAATCGATTTTGTGAGCACCGCCCGCCGGGCGGAACATGACAACCCGGCGCCCCCAACCCGGCTGCGGGAATCTTTCTGGCAGCCCGGACGCTCCAGGGTGGGGCCTAACGCCTCAGGACACCGGCAAAAACTGCCGTGAGACCGAGTTGGCGCATTCTCGAGCTTCGAGAACGCGGGCGACCGACTTCGTTTCGCGCTACTTTGCTTCGCCTGTGGACGTTAGCAGCCACGGCACAAAGTCGATTTTTTGCGGCGTGCCTGGATTTTTTGCGGATTTTTTTCCGATTTCCTTAACATTTTTGAAGTCGGTCCAAATCAGTACTAACAGCGAAACTGTGGGAGAGCCCATAGACCACTTGGGTCGAGCCGTGCTCCAGCACTGGGCGCGAGGGTGCGCCCAGGCTTCGTCTGGATGTGTCTCCGCGCGCGTAGGAGTTGGCGAGGCGACCAGCCATCCGCCAAATCCTCGGGTTTGGAAGTCAGACGGTGTGGGGAGTTGAAAGTATTGACGCTCGCCATTTTGCAATGATGGAAATTCCCCGCTCGGGTTTGGGTGAGAGGCAAGCTACAATTTGCAATGATGGAAATTCCCCGCTCGGGTTTGGGTGAGAGGCAAGCTACAATTTGCAATGATGGAAATTCCCCGCTCGGGTTTGGGTGAAACACAAATTGGGATTTTGCAATGGTGGAAGTTTCCCGCTCGCGTTTCACCTTCGCCAAGCTCACCCAATGCGAAAACGCATACCCCAAAGCAATACCCCAACGCGATACCCCAAAGCAATACCCCGCACGAATACCCTCATCAATACCCCCCGGGATTTTTGGACTCAGCTCGGTGCACAACGATGAAGAATACCCCCAGCAAGTACCCCCTTCAAGGGGTATTTCTTTGGGGTATTGGTCTTCATGCGACATCTTTATGCGAACCCAAGATGCCTGACAGTATTTCCCGATCGCACCGGAACCGTGGGCGGGTGCTTTGCGACCTGGCTGAAGTACGGCCAAGAGTTTCTGGAGCAGCGGGACATGCTCAGCGAAATACAGCTACTAGGCATGTTGCGCGGTGGGCTAGCGCTCGGTGGAGGTGCTTTCCTCGGATTTGCTGCGCTTTTTGGGTGCATGCGCGCTGGCCGGGAGGCCACCTGGAGGCTTTTCACGGATGGCCCCCGGCTTTGGCGAATGCTGGCGGCCTGCTTTTCCGCATCCTAAAATTGCAAGAAGACGCGCCACGCCGGTCGCTAAAAAGAGTTGCCGACCGCCACTATTGAGAGGCTGCAGCCAGTTGCGGCGCGCTACAGCCGCTGCGTTTGGCCCAGTTGCAGAATTGCAAACAATCAGCGCGCCTGGATTCGCGCGGCTCTGGTGCAGCCGCATATCCGTTCGGCTGACCCTTCGCCAAAGGGGTAGCGCTAGGATGTATTCGCTATCAACTAACTGCGCCAGCGGTGCCAGAGAATGAGCCTCCGGCTTCCGCTCGACTCCCCAGCAACTCGCTGACGCGAAAACGTCGGGCGCGGGCGTGAAAGATGAACATGGCAGGCCCGGTAGCGGGTTGCCAAGGATTAATCTTGTGCGCCAGGGTGATGGATGTTTCCAAGGATTAATCTTGTCCGCCCATAGACCACTTGGGTCGAGCCGTGCTCCAGCACTGTCCATTGCGCTTCCTTAATCTGGCATAGGGCCTGAACTAAAACTGGCAAAGCATGCGCATTTTGGGCCGCGTCTTCTCCAGCCAATGGCTGTAGAAAATATAAAAGCTTCTACTTCGTGGCCATAGAATCAGCCTCTGCTTCCAGGAGGTCGATTCTATGCCTCCGGAAATTTCGCGACCATAAAATCAACCTCTGCTTCCAAAAGGTTGACTCTGTGTCTGCGAAAATTTCGGAGCAATCAAATCAGCCTCTGCTTCCAAGAGGTCGATTTTATGGCCGCGAAATTTCACGACGATAAAATCAACCTCTGCTTCCAACAGGTTGAGTCGGTTTTCGCGAAAATTCCGCGGCCATAAAATCGACCTCTGCTCGCCCGACGTTCGATCCCATATCCTGGATTCTAGATTTGCAAAAGATCAGCCTATTCCCGGGCATAGGTCGTTTTTATGTGCGACGAAATTCAGGATCTTGCACTGTGGCCGTGATTCTAAATTTCTCCACACATAAAAACAACCTCCCCCCCGGAATAGGTTGTTTTTATTTAAATCTAGAATCCAAGATATGCAACGGAACGTCGCCCCCATCCCGGGCCAGCGACCGCCTCGCCGTGTCACGCAGCGCGTGTTCGACATGCAACGGAACGTCGCGCCAGCCCCCGGCCCACCGCGTCGCCCTGTCACGCAGCGCGTGTGCGACAACACGCGCGCCGGAGCGCAGGAGAGGCTGGGTCTAAGGTCTCGAGCCGTGAGTATAAGTAGGATCCCTGAGTGTAGGACAAGGACAGTTTTAAAAAAATAGTGTAGGACTCCCATGCACCTAAAACGGCCGAAATAAAGCTAGGGCGACACGGCGGCCGCTAGGTAGCCCGGTCCGGAAACTCGTTGGCGGAAGGACGTTGCGACGGGCGCAGCCTCTTGCTTGGCAGGGCTACTGGGGTGGCCCATGGCCTTTCCTACTTACTTGTGGCCTTTCTTGGTCTTGCCTCTTTCGCAGCGGTTTCGACTTTGCAGCTGCCAGCTTTTGGCTATGGTGCGTAGTGAAAGGCGGTCAGCTTACAAAGGAAAGGACTTCTCCTCTCCAAATACCGAGGCCCTGCTCCCCAAATGCACTCACAGTGCTGCGGCGGCCCTTTGTAGTAAATATTTTCCGCTCTGTCCCAGGCCAACAGAGGCGCAAGCTCGCGGGGCATGGATTTCGCAGGACTTTACGGCATTGCCGCTTATTTGAAGTTTTAGAGTAGACCACTTGGGTCGAGCCGTGCTCCAGCACTGCGACGAGAGGTCGCAGCGCCGGGTGCAACAGAGGCTGCAACAGCAGAGGTCGCTAGCGGGTACTTAATGACGGCTCGCTACGAGGGGCGAGCGTGCGCCCTCCCCTCGCAAAGCTCGCTCGGCCACTACGTCGCCGGAAGAAGGGGCTACGACGAGCCCCTGGATTCTACATATTCGCGCCATAGACGTCAGGATGTGCCTTGCGAGTCGTGTGTGAACTCAACGCCACTTCACATCCACCACGGGAAGAGGCCTATTTAGCAACCCGAGGCCCAACATTCATGAATTCCGAGTAAGAATTCGCGAAAGCTGCCGACTTTGATGCCGGGCTCGGGGCCGGACTTTCGCGAATTCCGAAACGGAATTCATGAAAACTACGGCCGATTCCTGAGTCCCAAGTTTGGCGAATTCCGACCCCGGAATCCACGGAAACCACCTGCCCCGAGCTTCAATTCCAAGCTGGGGAAGGGCTGAGCATTGATACCCGGCCCAGGAAAGTTTCCAGGGCGAGAGTTTGGCGGGATCAAAGTTGGGATTCTGGAATCGCCCCTGCACTTTGGTAAAACTCGATGAGCGCGACAAGGTGTGCCCGTTCTTTGTTCAGCACAGGCAAAGCACCAGAACTATGGCACGACGAGAATGGGTCAGCGCCTTAATCATGCGCCAGCCCTTAGTAAATTCGCTAGCTAGCCGCGCAGTGGAAAGCTCCACAAAAATGCCAAGCATGTCGCTATTCCTCTCCTATAAAGCGCCCCGCTTTCAATAGCGGAAAAGATCCAGAAAAATGCAGCATCTCATCGCTTCTTCTGAACAAACAGGCTATCATATCAACAGCTAATTTCCAGCAATACAAATGACAATGTCGAAACTTCGCCGAAGTAACGGTCTTCAGCTGAAGAGGGAAAGTCCGACGAGCGCTCAACGCCCCTTCATCATCTCCCCGTCGTTCCTTCGTCATACTAAACCACCCCAGCACCATAACTAAGTACGTAACAAATGCCTACCACAGCGGGTCGATTGGCAAAAGTGTGCCTATCACTTGCCGATGGGTATACGAAAAGTACGTCAGTCCCTGCCTCTTTACTTTTTCTTGCCCCCCTTTCCACCGCCACCGGTGGAAAGGGGGGAAGGGGGGCGATCAAAACGTGTCAACTACAATGGGGGGATCATCAATATCATCTCTCATCGATCGTTTTTGCTGAGTGCAAGCTATTTTGGTAGAGGGCGACTATTTCTGTTTTTGGAGTATTCGCGCCATAGACGTCAGGATGTGCCTTGCGAGTCGTGTGTGAACATAAAAAAGGGTGACCAACATCAAGCCGCGAACGCTTCTCTACTAGCATGCGAGCGTCATCTTCGCCTCCCTCCTACCAGTTCGCGCACCGCCATCGGCGTAGGCATTGGCTGTGTGTCTGCTCCTGCTGCGCTCCCCCGCTGTCCTCCATTTATTTTCATTTTTGTAGGCAGAAATTCTGGCCGTGGCCACCGCCGCCACGGGAGAACAAAAGTGGGGTCCTTCCTTCCACAGAGGTGGTTGGCCCATAAAAATTCCGGCCCTGCTCACGAGGTTCGCGCTGGTGCTGCGCGACCTAGTAGTCCTATTTGTGATCATGCCTAGAATGTGATCGATCTGGAGTGCGTTATGCTTAGAATATGAGAATGAATTATAGAAGAAAAAAGTGTTACAACAGTTACACATTGTCATGCAAGACTGGCAACAGAGACAACCTTTCTCATGCAGGAAATGCTTCGGAGCCTCCTTTCCTTCCTGTTTTCCCTTATGATCTTCGCATTACAAGTTTTCTCTCTCATGCAGAGAAAATTTGTGTTGCGGAATTGACAACAAATGTGTAACTGTAACACTTTTTTCGTGGGATAACAGCTTGCGTCGCTTTGATATTTCCACTTCACTTTGTTTTGCTCCCGTATCGCAAGAAAAAACTGTTTCACTGTGAACTTGTGATGCAGAGAATGGAGCACGGAACGATTTGTCTTGCTACGCCTGCAAGACATTGGATTTTTTAGCGTGTTTTCCCTTGGGAAGCGCACAATGCAAATTTTCTGTGTCATGTGTATACAAACCTGTGATGCAGATCTTGCAAGATCATCACAGTAAAACAGTTTTTTCGTGGGATATCCCGCACAATACCCCCAGGGCTCACGAGGTTCTTCGCGCTGGTGGTGATGTCTGGCGACCTATCAAATGTAAAAATGTTTGGGTCTGGAAACTTGTAATGCTAAAAGTGAATGGTAGACGCACTGCAATACGCACCTACGCATGACAAATTTTTTGGCTGCCATGTCTTACGTATTCCGCATGGCAAAGGCAAACTGGGTTTTTGCATGACAGGCAAGAGGGCCTTTTCGCGCCTATGCAACACAGATTTTCGAGCCATGCCAGACAAGCATGACAAACTTGCATTCTTCCAGACCCAGACATTTTTGCAATCCATACGACCTAGTCCTATTTGTGCAGTTGATGCCTAGAATTATGTGACCGATCTGGAGTGCCTTATGCTTAGAATATGAGAATGAATTAGGTACCTTGTGGGCGACAGGAACGCACCTCCTCTCCATCTCGTGTACAAAGATTCACTCCAACCGTCGTATGGATTGCAAATATGTCTGGGTCTTGAAGGTTGCAAGACTTGTGATGCAGGTTTTCCATGACCTATGAGGTCTGGAATGCATGACCTAGCATGATCACAGAGCTTTAGAGGCCCTCTTGATGCCTATTCCGCATGACAAATGCCCTCCCGCGAAGCACAAACTGGAGCCCTATAATTGCTTGTCATGCAATACAGATTTTTTTAGAATCCGAAGACAGCATCACAAGTTCGCATCCTTCCAGACCCAGACATTTTTACATTTGATACGTCGAACCAGGGAACGAAAATTAAAACGCAAGCACCGCCTGCGAGAACGAGAAATATGAGGAGAAGGATGAGCACGCACTTTTTCGTGCAGCAGTCTTGGCAACAGCCCCCGTGGGCGGGGGTTTTTTCAACATTTTCCGTCTCCTGTTCAACGTGCTGTCCCACTGCGTTATCTTCCGCGCTCAGCAGTAGAGCCGCACTCTCGTCCCGGGCGGCTGCAGCTGGGTAGTACGTGGAGATCGAGTTGTTTTTTTGCACTCTCATATCGATATTTTCCCGCCGGACATATGAACTACACAAGTATCGTACTCGTATAAGTGCATTTCTCAGCATGAGAGATAAAATTTGCAATGCTGACTGACTGACTGAGCTTCTGCGTTATCCTGACATCCTGACATGGCACGCCCGGCATGCGAGTTACGCACTTCTGATGGTGCAGCACAAGTGCTACCGCCAGCACTACACTTCTGATGGTGCACGTCTGTTCTTTTCTTCTTTCAAAAAAACTCTTTCAGATGTGCAGCGTTTTGTTATCTATGTGCCCGAGGATTGCTCCTCTACCCTGACTGATTTGCAATGCTGATTTACCTTAACAAAAAGATTTGTTGTAATGCATGACTGCAATACGAATCCGATACTTTTGCACAGGATAGGACAGTTCGATCGTCGTGAAGGAGCTGGCGCGGAGTTCTAACTATAGAAAGCAATCCTGTGCAAAAGTATCGTACTCGTATTGCAGTCATGCATTACAAATCTTTTTGTTAAGTCACATACGCATATACTTACAAATTTTAATTGCTCAATCTCATGCTGAGGGAATTTGTCATGCATTTATACGATACTTTTGCAGTTCATATGCAGGCCGCGGAGAAAGCGAGTCGCGTATCGTAAGGAAAAATCCACCCCCGTCCCCACATCGAGAGGAAAATTTGCGATGCTTTGTCTTGCGTACAAGGCAAGCGGAACCCTTGTGGCGCATTGTTCAGCGAGTCTGTCATGCGTTTTCGCCTAATATGTCAGCCTTGTTTCACATGCTCAGCTGCTAGCCGGGCGCGCAGCACCCAAATGGGCTATAGAATTATATGCAGACAAGCTCTTGCTGCAATTACAAAGCTCATTTGCGTAGTACACGAATCCACCAACACAAATCGTCTTTTGAATATGGGGTGGGGGCTTTTTTCACTTTGATATCTTGAAGTTCGGTTTTCGTTTTGGTATTCGTAATATCAAATGTAAAAATGTCTGGGTCTGGAAAAATACAAGATTTGTGATGCAGGTTTTCCATGACTCATGAGGTCTGGAATGCGAGACCCAGCATGACAGATTCTTTGAGGGCTCTATCATGCCTTTCCTGCATGAGAAACTCCCTCTCAACTTGGTCAAAAGCGGACAGCTTTTGGCACTCATGCAAAACAAATTTTTGCATGCTTCAGATTTAGCATGACAAGTTGCAATCTTCCAGACCCAGACACTTTTACACTTGATAGTGCTGGTGGAGGCACGTCGAATTCCTCCCGCCCCACCGGGTGGCAGGTCGCGCCCACCTATCCATTGCAAAAGTGTCTGGGTCTGGAAGATTGCCAGGTTTGTCATGCATATTTTGAATGGCCGATGATGTCTGTGATGCATGCCCTAGCATCACAGATTTTCAGAGGACTTTGTGGTGCCTCTACCGCATGAGAAATGCCCTCTTCACGTAGCACAAACTGGAGTCCTTTTGCTGGTCATGCAATACAAATTTTTTAGAATCCAGAGACAGCATTACAGGTTTAGAATCTTCCAGACCCAGACATTTTTACATTTGATACGTAATGCGTGTTTCTCTTCACCGCTTCGGCTTCCGCCCTGTTGGTACCTGATCCATGATGTGACTTGGGTAGCATCTTGGTGATCATCGTGAGGCGAACACAAACTACTTCCCAAATCCCCGCAGTTCTGCGGCCGCATGGGGCCGCTGCTCTAGTCCGTATGTTCTCAACAAAAGGCCACGACACCCTTCACAGTGGTGGAACAACTCCGGCTCTGTATAAAGTGTATCTGCGCTGCTTCGCAGCGTCTTTTGTGCTACTAGATACAGTAGCGAGGCGTGCAGCAGGGACCGCGCCGCGACGTCCGCGCCACAGAGGTGGCTGCGGGCGTCGCACTTGTCCGCCCACAGACGTGGGTCGAACCGTGCTCCAGCACTGCGCCGAGAGGTCGCAGCGCCGGGTGCAACAGAGGCTGCAACAAGTCCCGAACCCTCCCCAACAGAGGTCGCTAGCGGGCAGTGGCGGGCCACTGCGTCGCCGGAGAGAGGGGCCACGAGCTCGCTAAATTATATATATTCGCGTCAAGATGAGTAAACAAGCCGCGCGTGCTATCAAAGGAGCAAATGAATCACTTCACATCTGAATCATAGGGCCAAAAAAAAAATTTTTTTAATGTATTTCAAGTAACAAATCATGTGGCTTTCACTTATGAATGATTGCGTTGATATGATGCAGAATGCAAACCAGGTACGGCAGAAGAAGGCTCTGCTGTTGAGCTTCTTAATTAAACTAGGTAGTTGATAGCTGCAGGAAGATCTAGTTAAATAAGTAGCTGAAGATCATGGTTTATTTAATGAAAAAACAAAGAAAAGTAAAGGGATTTCGCCTGGTGGCTTCCGGCAGGCAGCCTCCCGCCAGGCTGGAGGAGCTGGGACGTCGCCAACGTGGAGCTCTGCGGGGAAGAATGTGTGCTTCTTCTGCCGGAGGGCTGGAACTCCGTGACGAAGCAGCCCAACGGATTCGGGCGAATCCGTTGGCCTGCTTCGTCACGGAGTACCAGCTCCGAATCCGTTGGGCTGCTTCGTCACGGAGTGCCAGCTCTTCGGCTCATTGGCGGTTTATGTCTCCCAGCAGCTCTCCACATTGGAGGCGTAGCAGCTCCTCGCTCCAGCTTGGCGAGAGGCTGCCGGCCGGAAGCCACAAGGCGAAATCCTTCTAATATTCTTTGTTTTTTCATCAAATAAACCATGATCTTCAGCTAGCTACTTATCTAGATCGTCCTGCAGCTATCAACTATCTAGTTCAAAATCAAAGCTCTTCATTTGAGCCTTCAAAACTGCCATTCTGGTGGCATATTCGCATCGTCATCATGTGCATACAACTGAAGTCATTTCTTCATGCTAAGCTATATTAATACTCAAAAATTTTTTTTTTTGGCCCTATGATTCAGATGTGAAGTGATTTAGTTGCTCCTTTGATAGTGCGTGCTTCTCTAGCATGCGCGCGCCATCTTCGCCTCCCTCTCCAGATTGATTGCGCACCGACATCGGCGTGGGCATTGGCTGCGCGTCTCCTGTGCTCCCCCGGTGTCGTCCATTTTTGTAGGCAAGGGCTGGCCACGGGAGAACAAAAATGGGGCCACAGAGGTGGTTAGTAACCCATTCTGGCGCTCACGAGGTTCGCGCTGGTGCTGCGCGACCTAGTCCTAGCTATCATCTGTGATGCCGAGCATGAGATGTCTGGAAAAATGCAATGCCTAGATTGGGAATCAAGTAGGTACCTTGTGGGCGGCCGGAGCGCACGCGTTTCTCTTCGTTCACCGCAGGAATTGCGTGTTTCTCTTCACCGCTTCCGCTTCGTGTTTGTTGTCTAGATTGGGAATGAATTAGGTACCTTGTTATGAGATGGACTGAGCGATTCAAACCCAAGCGATTCAAAAATTTTTTTTCAACTAAAACGCATCCCATCAACTCCTCCAAAACGTCCCCGGATTCGGCGTCGCGCGGAGCAGTTTCAGGTAAGTGGCGGAGATGTCGGCGCCGGGTTATGGAAGTAAAATATGTAGGCCGAAGACTACGAAAGAGGCCAACGTGGCCGGTCTCAACTTGAGGCAACTACTTGCCATTTTATACTTACAGGCTGCAAAGTAGGGGATGAAGTCAGCGCGTGCGCATGAAGCCTTGAAATGATCGGAAAAACAAGACGCAACAGTGCCGCCAAGTTGTGTCCCGGGAAAAACGCGCGTCAGCCATGTGAAGGGCAACCCAAGGCCCATTCCAAAACCCAAGCGGGCCGACCGCCGGGCATGGCCGGCGGCTTCTGGTGCGCCGTGGTGGGAATGCCTTTGGGCCTGCTCGCGTAAAGGTTGTAAACCTGCGGCAGCCTCGACCAGGTCCACGGAGGCCGCGCGGGCTACTATGCCAACAAAAAAATGCAACAAAAAATGCCAACAAAAAAAGCGCCTTGGGGCCAAATAGTGGCAGGCTTGGGCTTCGAGGGTATCCGCTGTGTAGCCTACTCTGTTGCCCCTTGCTTCTGCGAATTCTTCACGTTTATGAATGCAGACACTCGCCTTGTTCCCCTTCCCGGTTTTTCTGCGTTCACGTACGCCTAAGTCACGAAGTCAAGTTGAGATCGACCTAGCTTGTTCGCTTGATACTCTTCTGGGCGACGTTTCGGCGAACGCAAAAAAACACCCAGAACACAGCCCATCCATGCTGCTGTTCTTTTCAAGAGTCAGGAAAAGCTTGGAACATGAAAGAAAATTTTTGAATCCGTTGATTTTGAATCGCTCAGTCCATCTCATACTTGTTGTGGGCAGCAGGAACGCACGATTCCGCTTCTCTTATGCGTGTTTCTCTTCACCGCTTCCGCTTCGTGTTTCTTTGAGTACTTAGTTTTGTTGTCTCGTCGTGGTCAATAATTTTATATTCAATTTCGTTTTCTTTTGGTGTGAATAGTACTTCAATAAAATATAAATTCAATATCTGTGAGATGAGCAGCCGTCGTTAGTGATTTATGTAAACTTGTAGGGGCAAAGTAGAAGCGTTTATAATTCCGCGAAGAACAAAAGCTTCACATTGTCCTGTTGTGGATGTGGGATGTTGCGTACGAATTGTGTACGATAATCAACATATTGTGCACGGCGAGAACAACCGACATGCTGTTGCAAAAACGAGTGATCTCGTTGCACGACCGACGGGGTGAAAAATTATAGCCAGCGTCAACCTTGGACAAGATAGTACCAACACCGAAGTAGTTGAAAAGCAGAAGTTGCACGATAATTCGGATAGAATACAAAAAATTTTGCACCATACGCACGTACAGAAAATTTTGCACGATACGCTGCACGACCGATTTTCATTTTAGGTCTAGACAAGAACGTTTTTGAAATGACCGAAACGGTGCGGCTTGGCAAAACTGCAAAATTCGATTCTTCACGTCACCGAAGCGGTATCATTGTTGAGGTTGACCGAAAATAGTTCGCAGGTGACAACAAGTGTCACGGTGTATGATGAAACTCGAAGATAGACGATATTGAAATTGGTGCATCGAATATATATATAACCAGTGCACGACTACTTCTTCGTTGAGAAATTGGTGCAGCATGGAAAGAACAACAGAGCACGACTTAGTCTTACGGCAAACCAAAGCTCTTACCGAAGAGATCGCGGCTATGTCTCTATTGTTGAGCCTTTTACTACAAATTCGCAGCTTTTATTCCTCCCACCGCAGCAGCCCGTAAAGCCTCGACTTTCAAGCACCTGTCTTCCACAAGATTTATCATGATGTGTTCTGCTGGGCGAGAATTATCTTCTTCACTAGCAGCTGTTCTTGTACTAGAGCCAGCTGTTCCTGAATTATTATACAAATTTTCACCAGAAGATGAACTAGCGTCACAGGATGAAGATGAAATCGCCTCTGCTATAGCCTTTTTTTCCGTTTCCTCTGAAACAAACAAACCAAACTGGAGCCACAGATTTCGAAAGCCGAGTCGGATCTATCAAGTGCAAACACAAATTGACATCGTCGCCTCTGCACTGGGTCGAGTTCTCAATCAGGTGGCCAAAACCCAAGTCGTCGAAATCCAGCATGACAAACTCCAATCTTCTCTTCCATGTATCCCAGTAAAAAAAAATCCCCGCGCGAAAATGTTGCGTCACAAGTTTCAGGCCGGTGTCTCCTTGTCCAAGACAAATTTCTCATCACGTCGCCCAAGAACAAATCTTCCTTCCGCATCGTATCCGCATAGTAATAGCGTAAGTCACAAGTCGTTTGTCGGGTCGTGATCGGTATCAGAGTCTGCATGCGGTAGTCGTCAAAGAACGTCGTCTGCGTATCGATAATCAGGTCGGAATCTTGTTTGCGAACAGCAACAGAAACAAATCTTTCGCCCCCAGCGAAAACTGCTTGCAAGTGCGCCTCCGGTCACTACCAATTTGATCTTCTACCTAGTGCGACATTGTAGCTGCACATCGACATGATCTTTGCGTAAAAAGTGCGATGCGTTATTTTAGGTAAGTGGTAGAGGTATACGCACAAGAGCAGGCTGGTACAACTCTCACAGTGTTGCTGTACTTATCACCAGAGGGACCTCCAGGCGGTGCGTGGGGCTACTGCACCAGACGTGGCCTGTTCTACTCTAGCAGGAGCCATACTAGAATCAATTCAAAAATCTTCTTTAAACAGAAACCGACTTTGGTGGACGAGACATGGGCACTCATTTCCACTACCCAAGACCGACCATCTTTGCATTCGATGTTTCGCATTTTTCGATCCGACACAGCGACCGCTGCATTCATCATTTCCAGGCATTTTTGGACCGATTCCAACACTTCACTTTCGTAGAGAACTGATCATTTTTAGATAATTAGACAGCGGGAAAGCAATCCCCTCAAACGCTTTGGGCGGAAAGTGTAGTGTAGCGCCCCTCTGTGAATTTGCTGGGTCTACTTTCAAGAGGACCGCGCGATCATCTCAAGAACATGTGAACGTCGGAGCCTGGAGGAGCCTACGCGTCCCCTAGGGGGGCGGGCGTCTGTGTGAGCTCCGGCAAAATCAATTCCTTATTGTTCCTGATGTCTGCACCAATGCGGTTCTCGCTGCGAGCGTCATTTCGATCGATACTTGCGCCACGGTCTTTAGATGTGAAGCAGCTTCAGCGGCAAGCTGAATGTAGTCTCACACATCACGCATCATGCCCTCTGACAGATGCTTTTGCGTGCCTGCCACCAGGTACGGCGTTATACGAAATTTCGTAGTGCCCACGGGCGGGAAGCCCCGCGAGGGGTTCAAAGCTCTGCGTCGGTGCTGGAGTCGTCTGGTGGCACATGTGCCACATAGGCGAAGACCTTGGCAAGACGCTGCGGACATGATAGTGTTTCAAGGTTGATACCTATCGCATAGCATTCGAGGATATTACAATTAAAAATGCCCCCTCCCCATATCAAAACGGAAATCTGTGATGCAGATTTGTGGCCACAAATCAGCTTTGTGATGCTAGAAGGCAAAAGATGCGCCGGACTGTAGTGCTGCCTAACGTGGGAAAGCCTTGCAGCGCCAGGATGACAGGAGGCAACTGGAAGTGGGAAACAGCATGACAGATTACCTGCAATTTAGGCCGCAGCTTCGTCTCTTGGCCTTCTAGCAATACACGTCGATTTGTGTACTCAAATACAGCATCACAAATTCGCGAATCTTCCGTTTCCGATATGGGGTGGGGGCTTTTTTCACCTTGATAGAGGAAGTGCGCGGGGCTGTCTTCCACGCGACGGCACTCGGACGACGAATTATATCAACATATCCCACGAAAAAACTGCTTCACTGTGATGGTTTTGCAAGATCTGCATCACAAGTTTCTTACACATGACACAGATAATTTGCCATGCGCGTTTCCCAAGGGAAAACACGCTTAAAAAGCCATTGCGTTGCAGGTGTAGCAAGACAAACACTTTGGTGTTTCGTTCTCTGCATCACAGGTTTACAGTGAAACAGTTCTTTCTTGCGATACAACTACATCACGCATAATTAATGCCTGCTGTTGTGTACAGAATTCGGAGTTTCTGTCCCACTGAAAAATTGAGCTGAAAAATCTGATACTGATTGAAAAAGACATCGTTAGTATTTGTCTCACAGATGTGAAGAATTGTTGGGCCAAGCAGTCTGCTTGATGAAGCAGATAGAACTAAAACTATATTAAGGCTTTTGACGTACTACGGAGGTATTTATGTGCTTGCGGCCCTGGGCACAGAAAGCAGTTTGCTTTCGAGGACAAAAATGGGCCTTCGCCTTTGCCTACTAGCTGGAGGCGGGGCGGTAGCGGTGGCGGCTCCAAAAAATTCGCGCCACAAAAGTGGCACGGCCCAAGCCTTACACGCGTAAGGGCGGGGCCGGTTCTGTTTGGTATGTACCCGCGCCCCCACCGTAGCTTGGGCCGAAAAAAAGAGAAAGATAAACTTCGTCCGACTTGGTGAGAGGCGTGCCTGCGGCGGCTTCTCCGCAGCGCCCCGGCCTTTCATGTTTTCGTTTTCTTTCAGATAATACGGCGGCGGCGCCTTTTTTTTTTTAGGAGGACTTTCGTGCCGCAAGGTGTCCCGAGCCAAGCCTTACACGCATAGGGGGGCCGGCCTTTTTGAATAAGTACGTACTTGCCCGCACCCCCCGCGTAGCTTGGGCCAAAATAACGAGGAAGATAAATTTCGTCCATGTTTGCTTTTGCATTCATTGCGCTATAATGATAAATATATATAATGGCTCTGAGTTCTTGCTCAGCCGACTGACTTGATTTCTCACATTTCTTCGTCTGCGCCGCGGGACTTAGGTACAACGTAAAGCGTTCGACTCTTATTGCTCCTACTTCGATTTGCTTTCCTACAGTACTAGCTTGGGGGACCCAGGGCTAACTCCGTAAGCGGTCCCTGCAGAGTCAACTCCCGCCGTCGCAGCCACACACGTTTGTGTGGCCGACTAAGACGACCCAAGAGACTAAAAACTAGGAAAATAAATGAATTTACACAAGGCTCACACTTTTTTGATAGTTGATTGGCGCATGCGTAAGATGTTTTTATTTTTTAGAACTCGATCGCGTTTCGCAGACGTCAAAGAACTTGGCCCACCATCGGCGGCAGTGCCTCGCTCAAAAGTTTTCGCCTTTCAAAATTGGTAGGGAGTGTGGTCCTCTTGCGGTTAAGCCTTGTACTGCGGTGCTAATCTGAATAGAAACAATGCGCCGACGCCTGAGAGATTACGAAACCCAGATGCCTGACTCTAACCGGGGTTTTCGAGCTTGCACCGGTGTGCTCGATATTCGTCCTGTGCTTTTTTGGTCGTTCGTGAAAAAAAAGTTACAGCTTTAGTACTTGGAGTGATATTTTGTAGTAGTGTGTTGTTCCTGAGGGTAAAATTAAAAGTGTTTATTGCGTAGTCGTGCTACAGCTACAACTTCTGCACGAGCGGATCTGCTGTTGCGTTGTGCGAAAGTTGAAGTAAAAACTATGACCAGCGTGGAATTTCCGACCCAGAACCGCCTACAACAAGCTGACATCCTGATCGTGTTATCCTGTTTGTGCTGTTTCTACTCCTTTGTTGCGTGGTGGCACGTGGTTTCGTTTCCTCAACGAGGAAGACAAATTTCGTCCATGTTCTTTGCTTTTGCATTCATTGGTCGCCAACTGCTCGTCGTCCCTTCTTTTTACCGACACTGGTACTCCTTATCCGCGACGCCCGGCCATGGCACTATCGAAAGGAAAAATCCCCCCTCCCCATATTAAAACGAAGGCTATCTCCGACGCTGGATTGGTGTACACAAATCCGAGCTGTCTTGCTGGAGAGCACTGCAGGCCCATACTAAGCGCGAGTAGAGAGGTTTTGGCCTAGGCGCTTATAATTTGAAAAACAAAAACGTCCTCGCTGTAGGCCCAGCAGCATGACAAACCGCCTGCGCAGTGCGGCGGTTGTCTGTGGAGATGCCTTCGCGCAAGACAGACACGATTTGTGATCACAAATCAGCATCACAAATTTCCAAAAATATACCTTTTCAACAGTATGGGGACTGAGTGGGGATTTTTCCTATTGGTAGGCACCCCTGGAACTTCCTGGTAGCAGTTGGCGTTGAACCACTTCCTTTTCTTCCATTCATATCCTGAGTAAAAACGTCCCCACACCAGAGTTGTCATGCAGATTTGCAATGACGGGAACATTTGTAATGCGCATCGCCAGGAGAGGCATTGTTAGTCGTGTTTTGGAATTTGTAATACTGCAAACAGGATGAGCAGATGGATTTCTGATGCAGCTGGCCTTGCGAACCTGCACTACACTACGGACTGCAACTTGTGATGCGTGACCCCCAAAAGTTCTAGGTTTGTGTTGCAAAATCCCCATCTTGACTCTGGTGTGGGGCGGATGTTTTTACTCAGGATAATTCGTCCATGTAATTCTGCCCGCCGAGGTATCGCAAGAAAAAAGTGTTACAGTTACACACTCTGATGGGAGACAAGCAAGACAGACAACGCAACCTCTGTGGTCATGCAGGAAATGCTTGCTAACCTCATTTTATTATCATTCGTGTTTTCCCTTATAGTCTGCGCATCTTCACAGCAGGTTTTCCTCTTTTCCCTTATAGTCTCGCGACTTTGTGATTGTGATGCAGAAACTCCAACAAGTGTGTAACTGTAACACTTTTTTTATGTGATACGAGGTGGCGGCGGATTCCGGGCGGCAGCGGCGCGGTGCTATTGAGAGGAACAATCCCCCCTCCCCATATCGCAAAGGTATGTTTCCGCAAATTTGTCTTGCTCATTTGAGACTACAAATCACGTCTGTCTTGCAAGAAGACAACTCCACAGGCTTTGCCGCCTTTATTATGCAGGCGGTTTGTGATGCTATGCTGTTGGGCCTACAGCATGGACGTTTCTCATGCTAAGCGCCTAGGCCAAAACCTCTCTAGTAAGTACTCAGGCTTGGCAGGAGCCTGCAGCCCTCTACTGCAAGACATACCTGATTTTTTGTATACGCAAATCCAGCATCAGAAACTTCCTTTTGATATGGGGAGGGGGATTTTTCCTTGTCATAGCTGTCGTCGTTACTCCACCCGGCGCCGGCGTGGTGGAACCCCGCCTTTTTTACCAAGGCGAGCTGTTCGAGCCCTGGGTCATCGCATATGGCGTTCTCAAACGTTACATTCTCAAGACAAGTGTTGTAATGCGAGAACGGCAACAGAAGTGAAAGAGGGGACCTTGCGCGTCTTGCATGACAGATTTCGCACAGAAGATTGTTGGGCTCTTCGAGAATTTGTAATGCGAAGCAGCTTTATCGTGTGGATCCTGATTGCAATTCCGCATAAAAAGAAAAAAAATGTAACAATTGAGAATCGCAACATTTTTTGAGAATGCCATATCCCACGGAAGGGAATACCTGACTTCGCGGTTCGGAAACCATTTATTTCCGTTTCCGTCGAAGGCAAGAAAGGCTGCATCGCCCGGCCCCCCCTGGAGCTGCAAACACTCCCACTTTCCCAGGACATCGCCGCTTTTCCGCCGCGCTTGGCGTTGGATAGCCCACCCCGCAGAGTCGAGAAGGCCGGCGGGATTTGAAGATGTCGAACTGCTCGGCGTATCAAATGTAAAAGTGTCTGGGTCTGGAAGAATGCAAGATTTGTGATGCAGGTTTTCCATGACCCGTGAGGTCTGGAATGTGAGACCCAGCATGCCGGATTTTGTGAGGTCTCAATCATGCCTTTCCTGCATGAGAAAACTCCCTCTCAATTTAGTCAAAAGCGGACAGCTTTTGGTACTCACGCAACACAGATTTTTGCATCATTCAGATTTAGCATGACAAGTTCTAACCTTCCAGACCCAGACATTTTTACATTTGATACGGCGCACTAGGAGTCTGCGCAGGGTTCTTTTGCGACATCACCTGTGGCATTTCTCGGACCTTCGTGGGGTCTGCCCGGAGTAAGGACTATCAACTGTAAAAATGTCTGGGTCTGGAAACTTGTGATGCTGAGTGGCGTAGCATGAGGAGCCCACAAGTGCTGGCTCAGCATGACAAATTTCTGAGCTTGTAGGTGTTGCCTATTCTGCATGACAAATTGCGTCTCCGCATGACAGAAAAACGCGGCTCTTGGGCAACGTGCATGACAGATTTAATAGTCATGCCAGACAAGCATGACAAACATGCATTCTTCCAGACCCAGACATTTTTACATTTGATAAGGACATGTAGAGGCTTACTGGCCCCGTGGTATCCCAAACGGTGTTTCCGTAGCTGTGCAATTCCGCGCGGCGGAATAAATGGTAGAGCATGTCCCCGAGGAGTAAGTTTAGAGGTTTCGCCGCGAGGAAGCCATTTGTCAAGCCTTGTAATGATGAGTCTTGATTCGGCCAACTGGGCAACTGCTTGATAGCCGGAAACGATTCGAAAAAGTAAGGGACCCCAAACCCAAACGTGAAATCTTGGCAGGAGGCGAGGAGCCCAATGTCGTCCTTGTTTTGCATTTTTTCCTCCGCAACGATGTTGCCCGTGACGGGGTCTCTCGTCACTTTTCTTGGGGTATGCATCGCAAATATAATATCTGGGTCTGAAAGAAGATTCTGATACTTGTGATGCGCGTTTCATCGCGTGAGCCATGATCGATCTGTGATGCATGCCCTAGCCTCACAGACTTTGTGAGGGCATGCATCTTGAAGATGCCTCTACTTCCGCACGACGAGTGCCCTCTTCGCGTAGGAAAAATCACATTGTTCCCGTCGCTCCTCATCACGCAATACAGATTTTTTTTGGAATCCAAATGCAGCATCACAAGTCCTCGCATTCGTCCAGACCCAGAGGACATATTTGCACTTGATATGGGGACCGGAACTTTTCCGTCCCGGAAAACGCCTTCTCCAACATCCATCCTGTGCAAAAGTATCCGATACTCGTAGTAATTGCATTTATGCATCTTCTTCTCCATGTCGATCAGCATTACAAATTTTTAAATTTGTAATGCTGAGTCAATTTGTAATGCAATTTATTCTAGTACGATACAATACTTTTGCACAAGATAACAGCTGGTCCCAGTCGACGATGGGGGTGAGCTATCAAATGCCAATATGTCTGGGTCTGGAAGATTGCGAGATTTGTCATGCTTGTCTGGCATGACCAAAAAGTTTGTGATGCGTGTCCAAAAAGAGACCCTTTTGCCTGTCATGCAAAAACGCAGCTTGTCATGCGAAAAACGCAACACAAAAATAAAGCGTAGATATTCATATTTCGCATGCTTGCCTGTGCATTACAGAGCATTCACTATTCCCAACGCAACATTACAAATTTCCAGACCCAGACATTTTATTTGCAGTTGATATGAGCTTCCAGTCTATGTACACGCCGCCCTCCCGGTACAGGACTATATCCTGTGCAAAAGTATCGCACTCGTAGTAATTCTAATTGCAGCCATGCATTACAAATTTTTTTCTTAAGGTAAATCCGCATGACAAATTTCATGCTGGGGAAATTTGTGATGCATTTAAATTTATACGAGTACGAGACTTTTGCAGTTCATAGACTAGCAAGCGGAACAAGTCGGATTTCATGGAAGCGTCAGGATTGAAATCGACAGGGTTGAAATAATTTCTCATGCATAAATTGCAAGGCATGAAGTGCCTCTCTTGCAGGAATGGCAAGTGAGGCCGACGCTCAGCCTGTCTAGTGTCTGCGATACAGCTGCTAAAGTAGCATGACAAGAGACGCCTTCTGTCCCTAAACAGCATGACAAACTGGATTCAGACGGTGCCGATATTTGTCATGCACCGCTTGGAAATTGGGCATCCAACTGGTATAGACTTTATGCAAGACAAATCATTTCAACTTTGTCGATTTCAAACCTGACGCTTCCATAGATTTCATGGTGTAGATATCGAACGCGTCGAAAACCCAAAGCATCTCCTTTTTGTAATGCTCCTGCACATATGGATTGCAAAAATGTCTGGGTCTGGAAGAATGCGAGATCTGTCATGCAGGTTTTGCCTGACCCAGATCGTCTGGCATGCAAGCTCTAGCGTCACAGATTTCAAGCACTTATTCCAATGCTTAATCCGCATGACAAATCCTCTCTCTCGGAAACAAGAAATGGGGCTTTATTTCGCTAGCCATGCATGACAGATTTTATCATGATGTAGACTTCGCATTACAAACAAGGTCCGAGCACGGGGACAGAGTCCCCGTGCGGCGACCTTCCGGCATTTGTCTGCGCGGTGGCACTGGGCAGGCAGGTCGCTCGCAGCTAGGTATCTCGGTGCGCCTTGCATTCAATGACCCGCGACGGGCCTGCGGACGCGGCACCCTTGCTTGCGCGCACTGGATTCATCAGCCTGCCGCGCGCAAAGATAAAAAGAAAAGAAGAAACTGGCGCCGGGTCTGCAGCCGGCCCCGACGTCATGGCGCGGCGACAGAGTCCCCGCATTGCCCTAGGGCTTCTGTCTCTTTGCATGCCCCCTCCCTGGCCGCGCGGTGTCGTTCCCGGGGAGCGCGCCAAGCTGGCCCCTAGGCCATGACGCGGGGACCAAGTCCCCGCGCTGGCCTAGGGCTTTCGCCCCTTGGCAGAGCGGTGTCCGGGGGGCGCACACTGCTGGCCCCTAGGCCATAACGCGGGGGCCGAGTCCCCGCGCTGGCCTAGGGCTTTCGCCCCTTGGCCGAACGGTGTCCGGGAAGCGCTTACAGCTGGCCCCTAGGCCATGACGCGGGGACCGAGTCCCCGCGCTGGCCTAGGGCTTTCGCCCCTTGGCCGCACGGTGTCCGGGAAGCGCTGGGCTTACAGCTGGCCCCTAGGCCATGATGCGGGGGCCGTCCGAGTCCCCGCGCTGGCCTAGGGCTTTCGCCCCTTGGCCGCTCGGTGTCCGGGAGCGAAGCGCTTACCGCATACCGCTGGCCCCGAGGCCATGACGCGGGGACTCGGCCTAGGGCTTTCGCCCCTTGGCCGCACGGTATCCGGGAAGCGCCCACTCACAGCTGGCCCCTAGGCCATGACGCGGGGACCGAGCCCCCGCGCTGGCCTAGGGCTTTCGCCCCTTGGCCGCACGGTGCCCGGGAAGCGCTCACTCACAGCTGGCCCCTAGGCCATGACGCGGGGACCGAGTCCCCGCGCTGGCCTAGGGCTTTCGCCCCTTGGCCGCACGGTGTCCGGGAAGCGCTTACAGCTGGCCCCTAGGCCATGACGCGGGGACCGAGTCCCCGCGCTGGCCTAGGGCTTTCGCCTCTTGGCCGCACGGTGTCCGGGAAGCGCCTACAGCTGGCCCCTAGGCCACGACGCGGGGACCGGGTCCCCGCGCTGGCCTATGGCTTTCGCCCCTTGCCCGCACGGTGTCCGGGAAGCGCGTACAGCGGGTTTAGGCCATGACGCGGGGACCGAGTCCCCGCGCTGGCCTAGGGCTTTCGCCCCTTGGCTGCACGGTGTCCGGGAAGCGCTTACAGCTGGCCCCTAGGCCATGACGCGGGGACCGAGTCCCCGCGCTGGCCTAGGGCTTTCGCC